TCATACTCAACAGTGAGAAACTGAAAGCCATCCCTCTGAGAGCAGGAACAAGACAAGGGTGCCCACTCTCACCACTCCTATTTAACACAATCCTGGAGGTTCGACCAGAGGAATTAAGCAAGAAAAAGAAAGAAAAGATACCGAAATTGGAAAGGAAGAAGTGAAACTCTCATTGATTATAGACAACATGATCTTATATATAGAAAACCTTAAAGAATGCACCAGAAAACTATTAGAAATAATCAACAACTTCAGCAAAGTTGCAGGTACAAAATCAACTTAAAAAATCAGTTGTATTTCTGTACACTAATATTGAACTAATAGAAAGAGAACTCAAAAACACAATCTCATTTATAATTGCAACAAAAACAATAAAATATCTAAGAACAAATTTAACCCAGGAGGTGAAACACCTATACACTGAAAACTATAAGACACTATTAAAAGAAATTGAAGATTACATAAAGAAATGGAAGGATATTCCATGCACATGGATTGGAAGAATAAACATACTTAAAATGTTCATAATACCTAAAGCAATCTACAGATTCAATGCAACCCCAATCAGAATTCCAATGACATTCTTCACAGAAATAGAACAAAGAATCCTAAAATTCACACGGGGCAACAAAAGACCCCAAATAGCTAAAGCAATCCTGAGAAAAAAGGACAAAGCTGGAGGCATCACAATCCCTGATTCCAAAGTATACTACAAAGCCATAGTAATCAAAACAGCATGGCACCGGCAGAAAAACAGACACACAGATCAGCGGAAAAGAACTGAAAGCCCAGAAATAAAATCACACATTTATGGACAGCAACTCTTCGACAAAGGAGCCAAGAACACACAATGAAGAAAGGAAAGTCTCTTCAATAAATGGTGTTGGGAAAACTGGACGGCCATGTGTAAAAGAATGAAAGTAGACCATTATCTTCTGCCATACACAAAAATTAACTCAAAATGGTTTAAAGACTTGAATGTAAGACCTGAAACCATAAAACACCTAGAAGTAAACACAGGCAGTACACTCTTTGACATTGGTCTTAGCAGAATCTTTTCGAATACCATGTCTACTCAGGCACAGGAAACAAAAGAAAAAATAAATAAATGGGACTACATGAGACTAAAGAGCTTCTGCAAGGCAAAGGAAATGATGAACAAAACAAAAAGACAACCCACCAAGTGGGAGAAAATATTTGCAAATCATGTATCAGATAAAGTACTTGTATCACAATATACAAAAAACTCCTACAACTCAACAGTAAGATAACCCAGTTTTAAAACAGCTATAAGATAGGAACAGACTGAATAGATTAAAGGTGTACTAATGACTAATAAGCACATGAAAAGATGCTCAATATCATTTGTCATTTAAGAAATGTAAACTAAAGCCATAACAAGATATACCACTGCACAACTACTAGAATGGCCATACTCAAAAAAAGAATAACAAGCGTTGACGAGGATGTGTAGACACTGGAACCCTCAAACATTGTTCGTGGGAATGTAAAATGGTATAGACACTTTGGAAAAAAATATGCTAGTTCCTTAAAAAACTAAAACTTACTATAGCACTCAGCAAATCCATTTTTAGAAATCCACCTAAGAGAAACGAAACCATGGGTCCACACAAACACATGTAAGCAAATTTTCATAGCATCATTATTTATAAAAGCCAATATCTGGAAACTATCCAAATGTCCATCAATTGGTGAATGGATGAACAAAATGTGGTACATCCATAAAACAGAACACTATTCAACAATAAAAAAAAGAACAAATTACTGATGACATTCTACAACATGGACGAACCTCAAAGGCATTATGCAAAATGAAAGACACAAAAGACTCTATCTTGTATGATTCCATTTATATGAAATCACCAGAAAAGGCAAGTCCAGAGAGACAGAAAGCAAATTAGCATTTGCCTAGAGGGGGAACAGGGATTGACGGCTAGAATGGACTGAATGTTAAAACTCCTATGTTGAAATCCTAACCCCCACTGTGATGGTATTAGGAGGTGAGGCCTTTGGGAGGTAATGAGGCCATGAGAGTGAAGCCCTCATGAATGGGATCAGTGCCCTTATAAAAGGGACCCCAGAGAGCTCTCTCTCCTTGTTCGCCATGTGAGGAAACAACAAGAAAATGACTATCTGCAACACAGAAGAGGGCCCTCACCAGAACGCAACCATGCTGGCACCCTGATTCAGACTTTCAGTGTCCAGAAATGTCAGAAATCAATTTTTGCAGTTCATAAGCCACCCAGTCTATGGTATTGTTACAGCAGCCCAAACGGAACAAGACACTGGCAAACAGACATAAAGGATCTTTTTGCAGTGATAGAAATATTCTAAAACTGGCACGCTACAAATTAGCAAAGACTTTAAAACATTTATTTCAGTAGTGCTCCATATGTTCAAAAAGGCAGATAAATAGAAAGTACAAAAAAGACCCAAATCAAACTTCTAAAGATGAAAACAAAAATGTCTGAAATGAAAAATACACTGAATGAGATTTGGGGCAGATTAGACCAAGAAATGACTACTGAACTTGAAGACAAAGCAATAGAAAGTATCCAAAATAAAATACATGGGGAAAGAAGACTGCGGGGTAAAAAACGAACAGAGCATCCAGTGATCTGTGGGACACCGTGAAGACGCCTAGTCTATTTGTCATTACAGTCCCCAAAGGAGAGGTGACTGTAGTCCTCAAAGGAGTAGAAAAGGGAGGGACAGAAAAAAATATTTGGAGCAATAGTGGCCACAAATTTTCCATTTATGATGAAAATTTTAAACCCACAGATCCAAGAAGCTCAGTGAACCATAGGCAAAAATAAACACACAGACACACACAGAAACTATGCCAAGGTACATCATAATCTAACTGCTCAAAACTCAGTGATAAAGTGAAAACCTTAAAAACAGAGTGAGGGAAAAAAGCCATCATGTGCAGAGAAACAAAGATAACGGTAACAGATATCTCACAGGACACAATGCAAAGAAGACAGTCAAGCAGTATATTTAAGGTACTAAAAGACAAATCATTCAATCTAGAATTCTACGTCCAGTAAAAGTATCTTTCAAAATCAAAGATGAAACAAAGACATTTTTAGACACATAAAAGCTGCAAGAATTCATCAACAGCAGATCCACACTGCAAGAAAAATGGATCTAATCAAAGGAAAGAAGAGCATGGTAACTGCATAGATAAATATCTAAGATTTTCTTTTTAAATCTCTTTAAAAATGACTGTTTAAACAAAGACAATAACAATCTATTGTGAGCTTTCGAACATACATAAAAGTAAAATGTATGATAGTACAAAAGCTGGGAGGGAAGAAATGAAAGTCTACTACTGTAAGGTTCTTACACTATGTGTGAAGTGGTATAGTACCCCTGGAAGGTACACTGAGAAGTTAAAACGTATCCTACACCTCCTACAGCAACCAGTAAAATTAAAAAAACAAGAGTTACAGCTAATAAGCCAAAAAAGGAAGTAAAAAGAATCATAAATATACTCAATTAACTCAAAACGAAGGCAGAAAAAGGGGAAAAAAGGAACAAAGAACAAATATGACAAATAGAAAACAGATAAGATGATAGACTGAAACCTATATCAATAATATCACATTAAGTATCAATAATCACATTAAATGTAAATAGTCCAAGCATCCCAATCAAAAGCAGATTTTGACTAAAAAAGCGAGACCCAACTATATGCTGCCTGCAAGAAATGCACTTTAAATATAAGACAGAAATAGGTTAAAAGTAAAATGATGGAAAACTTTCAATGTCTCTGTCTATAAACAATCTCTTAGGATCACTATCAGGAATAAATAAGATAATGCAGGTAAAGCACTGAGCATACAGTAAACATTCTGTAGAGTTTACCACTATTACTGCCTTTATTACAACACATTATAATCCTCTTTCTGTCTCCCCTACTCTCCTATCAGCTCCTTGAGAGAAAACTCCAGTCATAAGGTCGCCTCCAGCACCAGAGCCTCAGGCCAGTGTCCACAGTAGGGTAAGGTTGGTGATGTGAAATGAACTGGAGGAAGGCACCATGATTATCTGTGATTCCCAAAGGTCTGGCACACAGCAGACATTAGATATTATAAACCTGGTTATTCAAGGTGAGGACAGGGGGCATGGATAAAACAGCATGACTGCAGAAAAACCAGTAAGAAATAAGGAAACCAAGGGGGAAAGGAGAGAGTGTTGACAGAAAAATGGTAAATGAGATCACCAAGAGAGAAGGGAAATGTGTTGCTAATAAAAGACACAAGGAAACAAAATGACAGGGCAGTATCGGGCCCTCAGATTACATTAATAAAACATAAAAACGAAAGGAGCGGAATCCGAGAGAATTTACCTTGTCTTTGTAAAATGGAGTGCCAAGTTACTAGATTTCCCAAGAAAATCCAACGGGAGGAAAAAGCTGTATGTCTAAAATTATTTACAGCAGTAGTATCTACAATTGCAAAAAGTCTGAAACAATCTACATATTTAACTATAGGTAAATAGTTCTTGAATAATCATGGAAACTATGTGGAAAATAAAACAAAAAGTATTCTATGTATCTTGCTCATAAAAGTAGAAAATCACTAAATTTTAGTCAAATACTGAATTTCATCAATAATGCACATGTCCTTGCTATTCGAACAACAAGTTATAGGTTTGGCTTTTTACATTTGATCATAGCATAACCGTAAGAATTCAATAAATGTCAGGTTTCTTTCTATTATTAAAAGAAATAATTTTGAATTGTAAGAAGTTAGTAAATGATCATACATTGCAATAATAAGTGAAAATAACTCACTTCAATAGTAGTTTATATTTGTATTTTTTTAACTAGATATCTTATTTTAGAGCTCTTTAGTATTTTCCCCTTTTCTCTCAAATTCTTTTACTTCCTCAGAATTTATGTCTTGAAATTTGTCCACTTTTAAAAATAAAATGAATAACAAAGTATAAAAAAATGAAAAGTGAGATCCTACCTGAAGTCTTGCCAGCTGTGCGGTACGGGCTACTATTTTATTGTACGGCTCAACAATTTTTGCTTTCATCCTAAGAGGAAAAATAAAGAGAGGAGTGATAATAAAATCATCTCCAAAATCTCAATGGATAAAAATCTCTCCATTCCACTGATTTACAAAATGAACAACAGTACCTATCAAGAGCCCCCTGTAAAGCCCCGATTCTCGTCTGCATCAGCTGAAGAACACCTAGGGAAACACAACAGCTTACGTTACTTTACAAATTTATAAGGGCTTAAATCGGGTAAAAAATTAAAAGAAAAAATATATATGCACATATAGAGAGGAAAATTTCCATTTTTTCTGCCACCATCATAATCTAAGCAACCAATATCTTTTACCTGCACAATTGTAAAAGCCTCTAGTCTCCCCCTCCAGACCTTGCTCCACTAACGAAGTCTGACGAGGAACGAGGAGGGACTGCTTAATGGGTACAGGGCTCCTGTTTGGGGTGAAGGGAAAGTTCCGGAACCAGATAGTGATGCTTGCACAACACTGTAAATGTAATTAATGCCACTGGATGATAGAGATTTCATATCAATGTGTATTCTGTTACAATTATTTAAAAAAAAAAAGAAGCCTGAGTGCAAACTGCAAAGTGCAAATTGTGTCATAACATTCCTGTACCCAAACCCTTCCAGTCTCCCCTTCACTCCTATGTTAAAACTACATTAAAGTCCACAGCTTGGTCTACAAGGCCCTGCCCGACCTGGAAATGGTGTACTCTCTGCCTGGCATACTCATTCCAACCCCAACCCCACCCCAGGCTCCTACTGAATTAACTCCCACTATTTGCTCAAGCCTTGGCTTAACAGAAACAGTCACTAACAGATTCCCCAACTAATTTAGATTCTTGTTATTTTCTTCTACAGCATACATTTCCTTCTTGGTACTAATTACAGTAGGAAATTATATATCCATTTGTATATCTGTTTAATGTTTTACTCTCTCACTACACTATAAATTCCTAGAGGTTAGTGATAATCTTTTTTTTTTTTAAAGACTGGCACCTGAGCTAACATCTGTTGTTGATACTTTTTTTTTTCTTCTTCTCCTCAAAGGCCCCCAGTAGATAGTTTTTTATTCTTGCCGTAGGTCCTTCTAGTTGTGCTATGTGAGATGCCACCTCAGCATGGCTTGACAAGCAGTGCCATGTCTGGGCCCATGAGTGGAACCGGTAAACCCCGGGCCGCCAAAGCAAGTGCACAAACTTCATCACCCGGCCACAGGGACAGGATCTTTTTCATTCACAACTGTAGGACCAGAGCCTAACTCAGACTACTTCCTATGGCAAGTAGTCAACAAAAATTTATTGAATTAATTAATCATATGCTAGATAAGTAATAAATGTGGACAGCAAGTATATTATTGCCTTTACTCTCTGTTTAAACAACATGATAAAGAACTTTTCAAAAAAATGTAAAAATGTTTTCAGGAAAACAGATCTTCAATTTTACTACTTTATGCCTAAAAATAGGCTTCCCAATATTACAGATTTAATTATTTAAAATTCCACTCTTCAAAACTCAGTTTCTATATTCAATTGGCAGAGTTACAGTTTTGAAACATAGTATTCTAAATAAATTGAAGTACAGAATGTTGTCATATATTAGATGAGTATTGGAACTTCTACACGTTCCTGTCAGCATACAAATATGCTTTCCTATGGCTCATTCCAACAGAATCCTCCCTGGACCCGAGGACACCCATTTTTCTGCTGGTTTTACAGTTCATTGACCGTGAGCCCACAAGAATAAACTGCCCTGACTTGTTATCATCACTTCCTCACATTTTATTGTCTCCACAACCCAATCTCAACAGGCTTTCAAACATACTCCACCCAAACAGATTTTATCAAGGTCAGAAAATCTCCAACATGCCAAATTCTATTACCAGTTTTGTCTCTACCTTATTCGAAATCTCAGAAATTCATAACATAGTTAAACCACTCCCTCCCTAAAACATTTTTTCTCTAGGCTTCCAGTCATCACACGCCTGGGTTTCCTCCCCTCTCATTAGTTGCTCCTACTCCTCCTTCGTTAGATCTCTCCATGCTGGAGTACGCCGAGACTGATGCTCAGCCATGTTCTCTGCTCCATCTACAATTCCTCTTAATACTTAAAATACTGGATCTGAATGAAATCCCTATCTGTTCATTAAAACACTGATTTTATACACACACATATATCCACTTACACACACATATGTACATACATCTATATAGAGAGATTTTCTTTACATCTGCCTATCCATGTACACACATACACACACACAGATCTCCAGCCCTGACCCTTCTTATAGCAAATGTAAGATACTTTCTGCCCCATCAAAATCATAATCCTCTCCAGTCTAACGCATGTCAGTTACTCATACCATCATCTATCCAATTGTTCAGACTAAAATCTTAGGAATCACTCTTGGTGACTTTTTTCCCTCAGTCCTTTCATTTCCCATCAACAAATGCTATCAGCTCTGCCCCCACTTTATCCCACCCACTTCTCTCTCCCTTTACATCCACCACTCTGCTCCAAGGCACCATAACTTCTACTATTCTAATAGCTTCTAAATTGGTACCCGATTCTATTCTTGCCTTCTTATAGAGACAGCCAACGGAGAAAGCTTTTTAGAGCATTAATCTTATGACATAATACCCCTAATTAAAAAACCCTCCAATGGTTGACCACTCGATTTAGAATGAAAACCAAAATTCCTTTCCAAGAACCTCATCTATAACTCTCGCCCTCATTCACTAAACTCTCGTCATACTAGCCTTCTTTCCGCCCCTCAAACATGCCAAGCCAACTCCTGCCTTCCCATTTATTGGTCCCTCGGCTTACAACACTCTTCTCCACAGTTCTTCACGTGGGGGCTCTTCCTCATCATTCAGCTCTCAAGTCAAAGGTCAACTTCCCAAAGCCCTCCTCTGACCATCCTAGCTTGTAAGGGACCCCCCCCTCCTCTCCCCATTTTCTCTGTAGGACTTACAAATATATGAAGTTTCCTATTTGTGCTCTTTTTTTTTGGTCTACTTCCCCATCTAGAATGAAAGTTCCATAAGAACAGTAACTTTGTCTATTGTTCACAGGTGCCTAACAAGTTCTCAATTACCATTTGACTGAGTGAAGAAATGAATGAATAAATAAAATAGGCTTAATTAAACATACCTCCAAATCCCATAAGGACAAAGACTGTGTGTATTGTTACAGCTGCCTGGAACCCAGCAAATTCTCAATATTCAAATGAATAAATGAACCAGAAATGAATAGGGGACAACTTTTAATAAAACAGACTTAATAAATATACCTCCAAACTACTCATATGGCAAAAGTTTTAAACATATAGGGGAAAAAAGCAGATGAACTAGAAGTTGGGATATTTATTCTCAAATATATACCACACTTACTTTTCAGCATCTCAAAATAACATTCTAATAGTGCTTCGAAATACATCTCATGCTCAAATGAATATCAACCAATTCATACTTTGACTTTTTATGTTAAAATAATCTGGAGAAGATTCTTAGATTATCATAGGAATTCAGAGAAGCCAGCCTTTGTACTCTATGCAGCTATCCAATGGATAACTATTCTAATAATCAGTCTAATAGTATATTTTAAATGTTGTAATCATTGAAAAGCATTCTGGGGAAAACAAACACATTATAGAACTAAATGCATATAAGAAAATCACAATGAGAAGTATTTGTGTTGTGATGATTCTTGTACACCTATATATACTGAGAATCAATGTACTACCACGCCACCCTTATGGATTTTTACAAAAGAAAACAACATTTATCATTTGTTTAAAAAAATTACCACTAAAACAGAATATTATTTACATTCTTCCAGAACACATAAAAATACTATGAGATGAAAAAACTTAATTACCAAGAGTAAGTTAGAGAGTACTTAAAGTCTCTTAATTTTCCCAAGAACATAGTCTGAAATCTATCCTAAATATTCAAATACCAAAATATTATTTCTGAAAATACTAAGTCCTTCCTCAGGATGTCTTATAAACAGTGTACATGCTGAGAATAACACCTTTGAGCACATAAGAAATACTGGGGGAAGCATTAAAGAATATTGCATCAAAGAAGGCAAAATCTTGGCTCCTTAAGAATTTGATCAACATAGGGGAAAATCACATAGCTTTCTTTTGATATGCACTGATTAATAATAATAGTAATCACAACACAAGTGATAATGTAAAATACGATATAAACATTCCATATTTATGCGATGCAGTTCATTTTAATCAAGGGAGAAAAAAATTCACAGAAGATTTAGCCAAACAAAAATTAAGAGGATTCATTAAAAATAAAAAACCAGTGTATTTTTCTTCTACTGTACTTTCATTGAAAAGAATTCCAAAGAAAGTCAAACACAGGAAAAGAATTCCAGCCTACTCCCAGGACCACCCACTTGGGCATTGCTGATGTTTTGTTTGAATTAACAGTTACAGAAGCACAAAATAGACGCCAGGAATTGTTCTAAGTATTTTGCTAACTCATTTAACCCTTGGAATAACACCATGTTAGTATATATTAATACTCCTCCTTTATAGATAGAAAGGAGGCACAAAAAGGTTAAGTAACTTGTCCAAAGTCACATATGTAGTGAGTGGCAAAACAAAATTTGAACCCAGATAGTTTAGCTCAGCAAAGTTTCATTAAGGCTTTGTTGTAACATAGTCACACATTTATTTACATATTATCCGGCTGCTTTCACTCTGCAACAGACGAGTTTAGTAAATTGCAACGGAGACGGTATGGCCTGCAAAGTCTAAAATATTTACTATCTACCCTTAACATAGAAAGTTTGCCACTCCCTGGTCTAGCTCTATATAACCTGTAGTAGCTAATGATATACCTTCCAAAGACTCAATCCCAGTTGCTTGCGCCAGTAAATCCTCATGTCTTGCAACGACCTGAAAATCAAGAATGAATAATCAGCATTTGCTCTAAGCATTAGGTATTGTTCTCTATAACCACAATGTAGAATTGAAGGTCTCTCTTCATATAGAAAGGAGGCAAATACTAACACAAAAGAAAGAAATACAAGTTACAAAGGTGTGTTTGAGATGAGTTATTAACAGGAACACAAACATGCTTATAGTTCCACCTCAAGCCGAAGAAGACACAGCCCTCTCACTAGCCTCCTGCTTTCCTAATGGGACGTGCAGGTGGAATTGTGCCAAAACTGAAAAACAAAAAACAGCTAACTCTTCCCATGCTATTAGATGTTTTCTCTTGAAAGAATGTTTTCAAACATCAGGTTTTCTTAGTTCTTGAACTTAATTCAGCAATTTTAGTTTTATTAAAAATAAGTAAATAGGGGCCGGCCCCATGGCCGACTGGTTAAGCTCACACGCTCCACTTCAGTGGCCCAGGGTTTCGCTGGTTCACATCCTGGGCGTGGACATGGCACCGCTCATCAAGCCATGCTGAGGCAGTGTCCCACATGCCACAACTAGAAGGACCCACAACTAAAAGTATACAACTATGTACCGGGGAGCTTTGGGGAGAAAAAGGAAAAAAATAAAAATAAAAAAATAAGTAAATAAGGGGCTGGCCCAGTGGCATAGTGGTTAAGGTTGTACGCTCCGCTTCAGTGGCCAGGAGTTTGCAGGTTCAGATCCCAGGTGCAGACCTACACACCACTCACCAAGCTATGCTGTGGCAGCATCGCACATACAAAATGGAGGAAGATTGGCACAGATGTTAGTCTAGCAACAATCTTCCTCAAGCAAAAAGAGGAAGATTGGCCATAGGTGTTAGCTCACGGCCGATCTTCTTCACAAACACACAAAAAAAATTACAGAATTGTAGAAAAGGAAGGAACCTTCGAAATTTTCTACCACAATCTCCTCTTCCCCTTTATTCACTCCAACTCATTTGATTGATTTTTTTTTAAAGCAAGACTCAAAGACATTAAGGGATATGAAAGGTAACAAGACAGCTGAGATTAGGACGCATCTCCCAATTCCCCATATTGCATTCTATCGCCACAAATTTGTCAACTTTCTGAAATTTCAGCAAATGTTAAACTTTGTGCTCATAAAGTGTTAACTGCCAATGTGAACATCCCAGTTTTTCTTATTCACACTGTTGTACTTCCAAAATTCCATTTTCTATTATCTTTATCAAAGACATCCTATTTCTTGCCCACCTATATTCATTACACATCAGTAAGATGGTGAAAACAACATATGAATAAAAGGTTTTGGAGAGATAGGTATATTAGTTTTTCCACTAACAAAAAGTAATTTATAGAAAACTTTTCAAAAATGTACTTTGAGCCAGTCATGTGGCCACGTGGTCAAAGTTCCACACAGTCTGCTTCAGCAGCCTGGGGTTCACAGGTTTGGATCCTGGGTGCAGACCTACTCCACTCATCAGCCACACTGTGGAGGCATCCCACATATGGTAGGGGAAGACTGGCACAGATGTTAGCTCAGGGCTAATCTTCCTCAAGTAAAAAAAAAAAAAGAGGATTGGTAACAGACGTTAGCATAGGGCAAACCTTCCTCACTAAAAAAAAAAAGTGCTTTGAAAAATAAGCCACACGGGTAAGTTATACATCTGTTCATGTAAATATGCATTTAGGTTAAATAGTAAAAGGATTATAAAAGTGATAAATTATCACTTTAGGCTGAATAATGTGTACGATCCAGAAGATTGGAATTACCTGTAGGTGTAGTTCTTTATCCAACTGACTGATTCCTTGGGCAAGTTTTGCTAGTTGTTCAGCAATTACAGCTTGATGAATAGACTGGGAAGTATAAGTCTTTACATCAAAGTCTTCGTTTAAAAAAGCACTATAACACTCTGGGGAAAAAATTGAGAGAACTCTTTAAGTGTTAATTACATTGCAGTAAACCACAGATACTAAACAACAGAACGATTACAATCATAGCTAACATATCTGAGGTCTTTCTACACACCAGGACCTCTCATGCATGCTCTCTGCTACAAAGGAGAAGGCAGAGAAGGAGGCAGCAGCAGAAGAGGGTGGTGACGTTCACTGAGTGCCTACTATGTGCCAGGCACTGATCTAAGCACTTAACACTGATTAACGCATTCAATCCTCACATGACCCTGCTGGAACTATCACATTTCCCATTTCAAAGACAAAGAGACAGGCAGAGACACAGCACGCAACTTCTCCCTACCTCACTGTCTGCGATTTAAACCCAGGCCGTCTAGCTGCAGAGCCCACACACCGAACCAGCATGCTACAGTGCTAGAAGCTAACGTTTATCATGAGGCCAAAGGAAATCATCCAGTAAAAGACTAAAAAGGAACTACTAACCATAGCCTTTAATGCAAGAAAACAAGGTCACTGACAATGACAACAGGAAAATTGACTATATTTGATATTTATGGTCTCCGATATCTCTAGATCAATGCACAAACACTGTTATAACCAAGTGAATATGGTTTTTTTAAATAGAAATAGGCAAATACAAACATATAAGTAGTGTTAAAATTTAGGATTTATGGGTGAAATAAGAAAATGGAAAGAGAAACTGTGTTCAAAATAGTCCTTCAATAGACAAGAAAAAGAAGTGATGCTGAATGTTAAGAATCTTTCTCTAAAGAAATTCACAAATCAGTGAGTGAAAGAAAAATGGAGAGAATTACAAGTTAAAAACAGATACGGAGAAGTGAGCTGAACATAGGTATAAACCACCATCTCCTAGCCATATGGTAGACACAGGTAAGACTGCCCTGACAGACATTACGAAACTAACAAGCAGAGTTGAGCACTTAGGAGAAAACTTCAATTGTCCATAAACACTATAATGTATGCTCCATGAGGGCAAGGTCTTTTTTTTACTTTATTTACTACCACATTCCTAGAGCCTGAACAATGACTGCCACATGTCAGATGCTCGATACTGGGTGAATGAATTAATTAATCTATATATCAGCCGGAAATATCATTCTGTTAAAAGCAAAGACTCATTCTTGACTCCTCTCAAAGCAGAGTGGAGTGAAAGAAGGAAACTGCTCCTTTGGCCTTAATTCTGAGAACCACATTTCCTTCCAGTTTGCCAAGAAGTTCTCAGAATTAAGGATCCTGCCAGGCAGACAAGTGGAGAAGGCCACTCCAAGAATGGGAAGGTTTAGAGGCAGCAAATGTCATGGCATATTTTGAAAAATAAGAGGAATACAGACCTCAGGATGTCTAGATCACAGAGTCTGTGTGTTGAGCAGAAAGGGGAAAGAATGACAGGAGTTGAGGTTCCAAAGGAAGGTTGCGGGGCAGTCTGAAAAGAGGCTGGTAAGACATCCAAAATGTTCAGACTATACCTCATTTAAGGTTTTAAAGCCGAGAAAGAGCACTGTCCACTTTAGGTTTGGAACAGTTTCTGGCAACCGTACGGAGGATGACTGAAAAGGGATTAGTCACACAGTGGTGTGCTGGCGCTGGCTCGTACTGGCTCCTGAGAGCCAACTGTAAAATACTCAGGAATCGTGTGAGCCAGTCGACATCACATGTAGGTATCTTAAAATTGACCATGGTGAGAGTATTTATACCACGGAAATTGGCGTACACTACAAAATCAGGGCTTGTCCTATTTTCCTAGAAAGCTGGTTTACTAGCACACCCATGGAACTGAGCTGCAGAGGCCAGTAAGGTGCTATGTTAAAGCCCAAGTGACACCATAAAGGCCTAAGACACTAAGAATGTCAAGGAAGTGACAAATTTGACAACTATCTAGACATTATAATGTGCAGGACTCAGAGACAAGCTGAAAATGGGTGATTAGAGGGAACAAGAAGTAGAGGATGATTCTCAAGTTTCTTGATTGAGTAACTGACATAGGGCATTCAGCTTTGCATTAAGCTAGACCACTAGCCATCTTTGCATGAAGATGAACATGAACAAATCCTGCCTCCATGGAACTCATAATCAACACGGGGAACAAACACACATCTAACTAACCACATACAATAACAGTAAAAGAGACTACCAGAGGAAAATGTTGGGGTAGAGGGGTAAAAAAAAAAAGAAAAATTCCTTCCATTTTTTTCATATGTAGAACTGGTACTATTTGTTCATATGCAGGCTTTTAAATGTAGAACCAGTAGTGCTTGTTCACTATCAAGATAGAAATGCCCAGTAGGCAGCAGTTCTATAGCTAAGAAGAGAGGTGAGGACCACATATGTATGTACTTGTGGGTATAGATAGTAATTTAATTTTGAAACCATGAAAAAAAGACCAGATGATTTAGGAAGAAATTTTAGAATGCAAAAAAGGAGGGAAATGGGGAAGATAGAGTTCAGAAGCCAGGAAAATACCAAAAATTTGGGGAGTAGACAGAGAAAATGAAAGCAATCAAAGAGACTAAGGAGTGCTCGGAGAGAAAGAAAAACAAGAGAGAATGGCAAAAACCAAAAGAAGGGAGTTCAAAGAAAGTCAGCGGTCAGTAGTGTCAAAGAGCTTACAAAGATCAAACACAACGAACGGTGAACACCGGCCACAGGATTTGGCATCTGAGGACTGACTGTCCTTAAAGAGAAAAGTCATAGGATGCTTCCCTTTCATAGTTTTTGCATTCCTATAGGAAGCACATCAGAAACTCCTCACAAATTTTCAAACAATGCATCTGCTCACCAACCCTATCAATCTTATCCTCTATCACTAGCAGATGCCTGACAGTGAATCGCTGTTCCTGATGGAAATGTTTAATTGCTTAGGAATGTTGTGAACCACTGACTTAGGGGCAAACTGAAGAAGACAAGCATCTAAAGGAAACTGGAGAAGGACACTTAAGGAATTCTTTAAAAAGGCAGGGAACTCACAAGCCACATGAGGAAAGTATTTCAAGAAAGAAGCCAACCCCTTTTACAAGTAAGATAAGAACCAAAAAAGTGTCCTTTTGATTTATCCACAAGGAAGTCATTGGACACCCTGGGAAAGCAATTTCAGTGGCACAGAATGAGGGTGACTGAGTCCTTGATGAGACAAGAAGAAAATTCAGAGCACAAGAGGAGGGACCGTCCTTAGGAAGCAGCAGAGACTCCACTTGCATCGTAAATGAAAATGCAAGGGGGAAAAAAAGGGATGATTGTAGGTTTAGGTTTATAGTTAGGTTTAGGTTAGGTTTATAGGTTTGATGGCAAGAAATGGAGCATCTGATGGATTCTCTTTTTTTTAGGGAAGTAGAAAGTCATTTGTTGAGCTTGAAAGGAGAGGCTTAAAAGAATAAAGAAGATTTAAATAATCACTGTGGAAGATGGGAAAGAGAGCTAACTAGGAAAATCCAAATGGCAGAATTGAGGACTATTTACTCTCCAAAAACTGATTACAATTCCTGGAAAGCATCCTACTGCAATATATACCTATGTCTGGCACGTGTTGTTTCTTCCACTTCTTCACCTGGGGAAGTTCTATTTACACTTCAAAACCAACTTCATCTAGAAAGCCTTTCCTGACACTCCCTTAACCACTCCCAGTTATCATCCTCCTCTGTATTAATGTTTTACTTTGTATACGATTCTACTGCTACCCTTACAACACCATATTACAGTGCCTACTTTATTGCTCTACAAGACTATTTCCCCTACTGAACCGGTGAGCTACTCCAGGGTGTGAATTGCACATACATCAGGAGCTCAAAACTTGGTTAAATTGCATTTAAATTGAGATACAAAGATGCATTAGCAGAGATCCTAACCTGGAGAATCTAATACCATCTAGTTCAGAAAACAACATAATAACTAAGTTCTGACAAAAGTATATAAACTATCAGGAGAAGGCAAGTAACTGAGGGCAATAATAAAACATACAATAGTTAGAGAAAACAATAATCTCGAACTTTATTTCATTCATTTACAACCAACTTTGGTCTTCAAATTATGTGCACAAGCTTCTCACTGTGATGTTCAATTTTAAAAACACTTATTCTGCACCTACTGTACGCAAAGGTAATATTATTAACACTGTGGGATCTAAAAAATGGTTTTACAATGCAGTAGAAAAGATTAAGTATACAAATTATTTTAATACAACTTAGAAAGTGATGACCATTAGAGAATAAAATTAAGAACAGACAAGAAGGGTCTTAGGAATTTGAACTTTATTCTGAAGGATACGGTATCTGGGGCATGTTAACTGGATTAATAATACAATTTAATGTGCTTCTCAAATGCTCTCTGTTTAACCCATCTTCTTACTTCTAGCAATTTCTCTCCAAAACTATCAATAAACCTGACAATACACACGGTTTATCCCAGCTGCAACGAATGCTCTGAACCCTCCCCCATGTATGGTTGTGGGCAAAAACAAACAAATGAACCTGCAAGTGGGGCCACCTGTGTAGTTCAAGAATCTGTTAATAGAGGGGATATTTCCAACTCTACCTAAAAATGAGGCCGTCTTTCAGTAAGCGTCTGCGCTCTCACACTTTTCATGGGATCGACTGCTTCACCCTTTCGTCAGGAACCACGGCAGCAGACAGAGGCTGCCAACGTGGGGCACCGGGTGCGGGGCCCAGGACAGCAGGGAAGCCGCAGGCGCGCGGAGGGTAGAGTGGAAATGCGGAGCAACCAGAAATCAGGTGTCCCCAGGACACCCGGACGGGAAGGGGGCAACAAGTCCCTGGAAACAGGTTGGCGAAGCCAGCACCCAGACGCCGGGGGGCCGGGCGGAGGGGAGTGGTCACGTCGAGACTGGAAAACTTTCTGCAAAGCGACGGGTTGAGTCCCCCACCCGGGCCGACGTGCGGAGCAGGACAGCCCCCCAGGCCCCCGACCCAGCCAGACCCTGACTCCTTACCGTCCTGCAGGAGCTCCCGGACGGTCGCTGCAGCCGCTCCAGAGCCCAGAGCCCCATGGCCAGCCACAGCAACGCCGCCGTCGCCACCTTCCATGTTGGCAGGTGCCGGGGTGATGGCGTCAGCAGCGGGCCCGCCCGGCCCGGCTGATGACGCAGAATTTGGGCGCCGCCCGCTCCGCCCAGGTCGCGGCTCCCGGCCGGCCTGGTGCATCGGCTCGGCTGCGGCGGCTGCGCTGATTCTGGGCGCGAGTTGAGTGGGTCCCGGGGCGGGCGGGCGCCGAGGGCCCAGCGCAGCGGGGAAGCCTTGGCCGCGGGGCCGGCGCTTCCCTCCGTCTCCCGCCGCCCCCCTGGGACTGGTGCCCTTCCCCGGGCGGAAGAGAAGGTGGGCTCCGGAACATGGCCGCCGCGCTTCTCTCTAAAGCAAGTATTTAACCCAAGAATTGGGACTTCTCGGTGGACGCAGGAGAGGAGAGCCGAGGTTGCCGGGCTCTTGGCTTGTCCTCCACAAGCACAGCGGGTGGGAGTTAGTAGCTAGCCAGCTTTATCTGTCACACGCGTTGGTTCGAAGTCCTGGGGTAAAGCAAGCGGGAAAAGGGTGGGGAGGCCAGTTTGCCAGGGATGAGTAATAGGGAGAGCCGAGAGTCGATGAAGAAGAAAGACTGAACCAGGAAAAGACAAGTGGGACTCCGTTTCTGCCCTCTTTCCCTTGAGACCGCGACCTCATGCCTATTCTACCTCTTCTCAGTTTCAGCCACGTGCTATGAGCGACGCCAGGCCTTTTATTACAAACTGATGGATGTTCCATATCACAAATTAACAGTATTGAAGCTGTAAAGTCGTCGAGTTAGTTCGCGTTATTTCTCCGCTGATCCATCTGCATTATTCACCTCGATTTCTCCCAAGATAAATACTGATAAATGAACAGGTCAGCCACGCGTGTGCAAGAAGGCTAAGCATTTCTTCGGAAAAAAAAGAAAGAAACTGTAATATATCTTTTCCTTTGTGTACAACAGGTATGTACACAGGGAACCAATTTTCGCAATTCTAGAGCTACATGGGTCTCTTGATTTCTGCTAACAGTATTTCAAGACGGTACTATAGTAGTACTTACCCTGTGCCAGATGCTCTTCTAAGTACTTTATAGATCTAAACGCATTAAAAACTCATAACAACTGAAGTGAGCAAGTCTCATGGTACACTGCATTGTGCTTTCTCCTTCATATAATTTGTTTGATCTCAGTCATGGTGTGAATAGGATTGATTGTTCTGAATGGAGGTCACACAAATTGCCAAGTGCAGTGTGCTCAGCCTCACATTAGGTTTCGTGATCCATAATACACAAAATTTGTTCTTAATTTTTTAATGTTGATGACTAAGCATTATCTTTGGATTATGGGTTGTTTTTCTTTGCTTGGCTTTTACACTGGAAGGTTTTAGAAGAGTTGCTCATTCAATGAAGAGCTTTGAGCCTGTACTGTACATACCAGCGTGAGTTTACAAACGTTAAGACTCGATCCCTCTCTTTTCCCAAAGGAGCTAATAGGTAAGGCAGAAACCCATTTAAACAAACAGTTGTACCAGGTGCTTTGGAGTGAGTGGATTTATTCCCAAGCTTGGTTGCAAGTTGAAATCACCTGGAAAGCTTTCAAAACCACTGATGGCCTGCATCCCAAGCCCGGAGATTCACATTTAATTGATCTGGGATATGGTTTGGGCATCTTGATTCTTTAAAACTCCCCAGATCATTGTAATGTCCAACCAAGGTTGAGAACTACTGATTTATTCATTTAGCAAATATGCATTGAGGGAGGCCTCCTTTGTGCCATGTACTGAGACTACAAGAATGAATAAGAATGAAATTATTCTTGCTAACGTCACTAATGAGCTAGTTGCCATTGGACACTTTTTAGTCTTGACTTTTCTGTGACGTTTAAGATGCGTGTCCCCTCCCTCCTCTGTGACGACACTTTCCCCTTTCTTGGTTTTTGACTATGACTTTTCAGGTTTATTCCTCCCAGCTCTGGAGTTCCTCTCTCTGTCTCCTTTGCATTCTTTTTTTTTCTCTTTTCATTTAAATGTTGGTACTTCTAAGGATTTCTTGTGAGATATGGCATCCTTAAGTACTTTGTCCGTGTTTTTAGTTTCAACTTATTACCTAAAAGTTCAAGACTCAATCTACATCTCTAGTTTTTTTCTTGAGTACTGTATCTATATAACCAGTTATGAGGCCTCACCACCTGGAAATCCCATGAGCACCTCAGGTTTGGTGTGCCCAAATGTAAACTCGTGTTTCCCTGCCAAAACCTATTCCTCCTTCTGGTTCTGTATCCTTGGTTGGAATGCCATCCAGTCTCTAAAGCCAAAAGTGTACACATCATCTTGGAATTCTCTCTTATTATATAACATGCACTGTCATCAAGTGTTTTATACCTCCTAAATATCTTGCCAGCTTATTTGTATTTCTAAGAAGCTCTTAAGTGTGTTCTCTTTCCTCTGTCCTCATTCCTAGAGTCCCAGATTAGGTACTCAGTATGCATGGCCTGGACTACTACAATGGCTTCCTTACTCATATTTTGCTAACAGCCCAACCCCCCCACCCCCCCAGTGAAATCTTTCTAAATCGGAAATCTGATCATGTCATTTCCCTGCTCAAGTATTTCAATTACAACTAATATACAAGGAGAGACAGCCTGTACAAAAATATCTGGTACACCCATGGAAGTATGTCATATGCACATGTTGAGTGCATACGTAAAAATCACCCATAGAGGAGGAAAAATGGCTGAGGACCAAGGCCCTATAGTATAAAATCTAAAGAATTTTAGCCTAACGTGTAAGGCTCATAACTGTCGAGGCCCTCTCCCTCTCTAGTCTAGTTACAGTTCAAGCACTGAATGGTTCACTGAAAACAGCAAGCATTTTTATGCCGCTAAGGCTTTATATGTGTTGTGCTCTGTAACCAGGCACTCCTCCATCTCCCATGTAGTGTCTGCTCAAGCTTTTCCTCCTCCACTGTTGATGACTTCCCTCACTTCTCTAGACAGTTATTTTCACAATGCTTAAATTGTGTGTGTGTGTATGAGAGCTATTATTATATAAATGTATGTAACTCCCTAATACATTTTTGAGGACACAGGAAGTGTACTTTCTTCTGTATTCCCACCTGCAGCAGGAACTTAATATTTGTTATATGAATAAAAACACATCCATGCCCTCAAAAACTCAAGAAGAGACAGACGTGTTGTTATACTCTATAAAAGTAATTGCAAATGCACATGATAACAGAGGAGTGTCTAGGGTGTAGTGGGTAAATAAGGTCAGCTGGGATTCAGAGAAGATTGTCAGAGTCATCAAGATGGGGGATTATGAGTACAGAAACTGGGGCAATGAAGATGTGCCCAAGACTTAATAAAAGGTACCACTGGGTTGACACAGTTGAGGGAGATGGAGAAGTGGAGGACAAGCCCCAGGTGTCTGACTTGAGTTAGCAGGGATGGATGGTGATGGCATAACCAGGATATGAAATGCAAGAGAAAATAAACAAATTTGATTCATGAAAAGAAAGCTACTTTTCTGTTGCTTTATACTTTACCTGTGTCCTTCTAATGATGAATTTTCACAAAAAAAGATAAGCTTGTAACTTTGTCTAGGTTTTATTAAGTCAGACTGATTGAACAGTGATCAGTAAAACTAGTTTCTCTTACTCTAGCTGTGTACTCTACCTAAGGAAGTTGAAATTAGTGGTTTCTATTTAGGTTATATCAGTACTTTCAGGATTAGCCAGGTAAATTGCATGTTGAGCAATTAGGCCTTTCAAAAGTTGGCCCATATCTGTTTTTAAGTTACTAAGGCCAAAAACTGGAATATGGAAAGCAGCCAATGCTATTAAATTATAGGATGTTAAGTAGAGCAACTGTAAAATACTTATAAACTACCTAATTTAATCACTTGTACCTCTGGGTATAAAAGTGATTTACTATGCAATTGTGTAATTACAGCTGATTTTCACTACATAATACTGTATTTAAATTTCTAAAAATAATTAAAGATAAAACGTATCTTCTGATTCAAATACAAAGAAGAGGATTTGAGAATAAGAATGAACATTAAACATACCAGTATATGGTTTGAAACGCTAACTACTTAAAGTTGTTCTATGAATGCCATTTAACATTCCTGGATAAAAGAAGATATTTCAAACTACCAGACATACACAGTATTATATATGAAGTGATTCAAATCAAATTTCTTGGCTTGTCAATGCCAAACAAAGTAACATGGAAAAATTAAAAAGTAACACGAAAAATCGTAACATGATATTCTGGAAGAAAAACTTGTCATTTTCCACGTTTCCACATGAGCAGTTATTAATTTGAGCAGAAAATGTTACTATAGTGAGTTAAGTATAGAACTTGAAACTGGTAGCGTTTGACTTGAACAAGCATATTTTGTACAGTGTGCTAGAAACTATCAGTTGACTTATAAATAGAGGCAGAATTCTGTAGTTTCCTATTCGATACTGTGAAAAGAAGCTGAAAAGACTCCTGAGCCCGTAAGTCTGATGAAAAAAATCTGTTCTTGGCAATTGAAATTGTTACGATGATGGGAATTCATCTAACTAAAGTACCTTTTCTCCATGCAAACTGATTGTCTTTTTCAGATTTGAAACAAATCTGTATTCATGAAGAGTGATTGCATACAAACCACAACATGTCAAGAAAGAAAAAAAGATCCCATGGAAATGTTTCATTCTGGGCAGCTGGTAAAAGTCTGTGCCCCCATGGTTCGATATTCAAAGTAAGTATTGTCAGTTGGTTAATGAGCTAGGATATGATTTCCTTTTCATGCGCCGACTTTTTTAAAGACAGACCACCCCCCCCCCCCACATGGGATCTTTAGACCCCTACCTTTGGGATCGTGATCTAGGCTTGAGTCCTGGTGCTACCACTTGCCTGGTATGTGGGGCCCTGGTAAACAATTAACTTTTTCCAAACTTCACTCTGTATCTATAAAAATGGTAGCATTTATAACTCCCACCTATAAAGATAATAGTGGATATTAAGTACATATATTATATAAATATACATGTAAATATATATGAACATTTATGCACACGTTTTTGTGTGGACGTAAGTCTTCGTTTGTCTGGGACAGATCCCCAGGACTGCACTTGCTGAGTCGTATGGTAGTTGTGTGTTTCGTTTTTTAAGAAACTGCCAAGTTTTCCAGAGTGACTACCAT